GTGTCCAAATCGCTTTACTTACTCTCTCGATTATTTAAAATGTTTCCAACCTGATGATTTAGTCAGCCTGTAGACGGCCGTTGGTCATTTGATCAGCTGAAGGATACTGGCTTAATTTTTTGAAAAAATCTCTAGGTTAGGCAATTTTCGGTTGTTTTACACACCTTTTAACTTATATTCCTGCTAAAAGTTGACGAAATACAGCAAATGATGGTGTGCTTATCCGGCCACAGCTTACGGCCAGTTTACAGATTGTTGAAATAAGTACTTTTCCGTTCAGAAAATGTCAAATTACTTGCAGACACATGTTATAACGACTTTCTGTGATTTTTGTGCAGGTTGATGGATTACACATGAACATAATGAGGTGGGATAGCTTGTGTCAATGTAGTTGAAGATTGAACGATCAATTCATGGTTGTTTGCTCAAAACCAACTTCCCCAATTTTCGTGGAGGCATCAATAGACCAGTCATCGTCTCATCGGTCGCTGTTCAGAAAGAAGTCAGGAGACAACCGTCAGAAACCTTAGTTTTAAAGCTTAGTTTTAAAGTTGGCTATATGTTGGCGTTACAATAAAGAACTCTCGAGTCGCCAATCGGTGTTTTGGTTTTTGCGTCCGTTATTACTAAGCGTTTCTGAGAACTTCAAGGAACAGCGTGAGTCCCAGCGTAGCAAGAGCTGGGCATTGACGGTTTACGAGACGTGACTGACAGCTTGTTTCTGTAATTATTTCATTTACTTTGTTGTGTACTTTTCCTAATGCTCTGACAAGGCTCCTGCACATGTATTTCTTTAAAAAAATCTGCAGAAATACTTAGAAATTATATACGCATAATGTTTCCTTATTTTACAGCAAAAACTTGATGTTTGCAGGCAGATGGAATATCGATTTTGTATTATTGAAAAATGTTGACTGACGTAATTATATACAATTTGACTAATTATTTCGTCATTTTAAACATATTTAACGGTTAATTATTGTGTTTACACTGGTAACGATGTCTTCATCTGTATAATTCTTGTGTTCTTTTTCAGATAATACCTACTTTCGGGAATTTCATGGATTTGGGTGATGAAGAAAAAGATACCCGATTTTGTATTGCATGTTAATTCATTAATAAATAAATGTATTCCTCGTTATTCGTTTGCTTATTCTACTTGATAAGACCGAATATTGGCCGTTGCGTAATTTGTGAGGTGTAGAGTATATGAGGCTATCTGTGAAATACTAAATAGGAGGAGATATTCGGAGAAGCCTATTGATAAAAGATTATGTTGTAGTCAAACAAAGTAAATATGTCTAAATCGTAGAGGGGTTGTTGCAATTATAAAGCGTTTTGAGTTATCTATCATCTTAGCAGAATACATATACTGATTCGCGATTCATAGTCACAAAGTGCAAGATAAATCTACCCGAGATATCTCGCTTGAATGACTGGTTATATTGTGGAATAACTTCAAGCTTTATTTTTCCCAAGTATTTTTAATCCATCCAAAACTTGGGTTTTTTTGTTAATGTGAAGCCAATATTCCTATATTTCATGATGTGCTCCATTGAATGACTGGTTATCATATTGTTCCCACAAACCAAAGACAGAAACGTCAGCAACCATGTAATTTAACCATAAACCAAATTTGTGAAATTTAAATAATGCTTATCCATGCCTGTATATTTGATGTGTCCTACACAGGTAGGAAAAATGTGTATTTTATTAAAACATTATTAATAAGTATGATTGCTAATCGTATATGTAATTTATCAGACTGATGATGCCGTAAACTGGCGTCCCTCATGTACAAAATGAGAATATACTATTATTATTGTGATTTCTGCATGTCGCAATGTACCATAAGGAGGGACTATACCTATGCTGTTAGATGTATAACTCAGTGCAACTACAGTTATCGTAATAATTAAAAAACAGAATGCCTAGGCTTCTCAGCCACGAAACACGATAAGTTGCTATCTGCTCATATAATCACGTAAACAGAAGTTTTCCAGGCGCCGCATTTACTCCTAACAGTTTACCCTCAGCTTCTAACTTGGCACGTGCTACTTGTGTTACTGGAACACAATCGCATTACAACAGAAGGAAGACAGATTCATTGAAAAATTGTTTATTAAACAAAAATTAGATTTCAAATATACAGATAGTTCAGATGAGTAGTCCTCTGTTACCGTCAGTAAGTTCCATCTGCGTACACGACACGCATATGTTTTTCCATAAGTCTGAAAAGGTTTAAGAAAAGCATAATTAACTTGGGTAATACATGTATGATCTGAATAAAAAAATTTTCCTGATAAGCATTTACAAGTGATCACTTTACAAACAATATATACATATATATAAGTAGCCCAATAGTTTTCGCTAAACTTGAGGGACTTCGCAACTTATCGTTTGTCGATATCTAGTAGGTCCATCGAAGCATCATGAAATGATAAAATTATTTAACGACAAGTTATGCAGTAGTTTCCAAGCTTGTACAAATATTTTAGCAAAAATGACAACGACTTTATGACAAATAATAGGTCTTGACAGCAATAATAATAACATTCATGTTCATAGTGACTATAAAAACAATGACAGAAATTATTATCGCAACGAATTCATCATAAACTTAGATAGACAACTAATAATAATACAATCATATCAAATAAATGTATCACTTAATCTTAAGAAGCATGTGTTTACTTACTTTCACTGTATTCTCTCAATACTGATGTGCTCAACTAGCTCATTCTAACTGAATTTAAGATTAATTCTGAAAGTGAGTGGAGATCCAGTTTATGTTAAATAAAAACATGTAACTAACATGTATTACACTGCTTACTGAGACATCTGGTACCTGCTTTCCGATCTTCGTGACAAGGATACAGTTCATCTAGGTTTACCTACATATACATAAGTATACGTGTATGCTGCATCAACCATATCGTTTTTATCATGATTAGCCAGACCACTGTGTATATTATACTTATTTAGGGATCTCTGAAAATAATGGTCAAGCGATAACTGAAGTTGCGTGAAGTTATTACCTCTTCAGAACATTGTTTGCATTCTTGACACTCCTGAGAAGTCCTTGGATCTTGATATGGCATGAATTCGTTGAATTCAGCAAACAAATCTACTGCTATATCATTTATTTCCTGAGCTGTAATAACTTGTGTTGTGAGTTATCTCTCGAATTTGATAAAACACTCAGGGAAATTCAGGACTTAACCAAGCAGCAAAATGATGTTTGAAATTACCTCAACTCGAATGACAAACTGGCCAATCACAAGCGAGCGAATCGCTTGTTTATCTCATTCGCGGTCACTCAAAATTACGCCCGTCGACAGGCTGTCACTAAAGCCTTTAACGATCCTAAACAATTCGCTTATAAACACAGCAGAAGTACTTTAGATGCAGTTGCCGTCTTAATAATAATATATATTCCCATTTTTTGTACATGAGGGACGCCAGTTTACAGGCATCATCATTTCGATAGATTACACATAATATAAGTAAGCATAGTTAGTAAAGCTAATATACTAAGGCTCATAACTTTCCGAGCTATGTAGGACACACCAGTTGTATAGGCATGCCTAAGTATTGTTTAAATTACATGATATGTGGTTGCTGTCATTTTGTCTGACAACTAGTGATTCAATGAACCACATCAAGAGATATAGAGATATTGACTTCGCATTAACAAAAAACCAAGTATTCGTTGGATGGATTACAGATAATAATAATAATAATGTATATTCTCATATAAACATATAAATTTACATGAAAATGCATGCCATTTTTACAGGCACGATCAAGTATGATATAATATCAAATCGTAGATTGTCTACAAGTTAATAATGTTTCAACAGTTAAATATTTGATATATATATAAATACACATTGTCTGAACTAGGCTGTATAGTTATTAAATTGTACAGTTTTCCTCCAGGTTGAGCGGGAAAATCGACTTCGTTTCGTTTTCATCCCGTGGTTGTCGGCATACGATAACCAACCAATATTGAGGTAAGTACAACGTTTACAAGGGATTGAAAGCTGTTTTAGAAAAGTAAAAGTGCTGAGGTGAATCATTAAATTGTAATGAAATAGGTAAGTGCATGTATCATTAATAAATGCATTAATAAAATAAACTCCCTAGGCTGACAACGTTCATTTGCAATGTATAATGCTACACGTGTACCTCGTACTATCATGATGTCCACTTTTGGTTTTAATACATTTATCCTCAGTTGTGCCAGTTGTTTTTGTTTTATACCTTTTTGTGCATTTAATGTACAACCGTACCCTTCAGAGAGTAGGAATATAATAAGTCATAAAGAGCTGTAAAATGTTAGGTTTACTGGGATATAATGAGGATCAAGTAAAGACGTTATTGGAAAATGAATGAGATAAGACATTGTGAAGTGGTATTTAAAGATCAGTCAATGGACAGCAAGTTAGTTTATAAGATGCCCCATAAAATTGTGCACATCCCACATGGTCGCATCTCAACAATAGGCTGGGCGAATAGTATATATTTAGAGGTAGAAGCATGATCTGTCAAGGCGTTCATTATTATCTTTTTCAAGATAAAGATCTAAGCCCTCATAAAAATCAGAAATATCTCGAGCCTTTAATTTGTGTATTGCTGTTCCTGCAGAATGGGGCGATTCACCTTAGTGACCCCCACCATATCTACTGATCAGAAAATAAATAAGTCTTGAAGTCAGTTACCCAATATAACAATAAAATGAATCTTATGATAACATACTGCCTTTTAATGCACATGACTGTTGACAGGCATCATCAATATGATAATAGTGTACACATTGAGTAAGCATGTTTAAAATATTTCACTGACACAAGATATATATATATATATAGAAAGGAGGATAACGGAAGAATGGTGTTAAACAAACTTTGCATAAGTTAAAACAATTTATATGATATAATCCTAGGCAGCATTATGGTTTGAATTAGTTGAATATGCGCGTAACAACTGAGTGTTGCGTTACATTTCGTCGATATGGTTGGCTACTCACAGGTGTAAAAATGGCCTATAAAACGTTAGTTAGTTTACCGTAAACGATGTTTTAAGTAACATAATATGCAAAAGGCTCACCAAAGCAGTTTGAGTACAGTTTAACATGCAGAGAAGTACTGTTGATTCAGCAACTGGTGAACTAGTTCACCAGAATAAAAAGCTTTTTATTCTTTTCGATCTGGAATCAGAATGAGCGCTAGCCAATCCATATAAAATGTTGAATAAAGCATGCGGGAGCAGAATATTACCATGGAATGAATCAGTATGATCTGAGATGTAGCTGTCAGCATGTTTTCGTTATTTCCTTGATGTCCAGGTTTTTTGGCGCTGTGTATGCAGTGATTTGGATTTGGACATACTCCGCAGAGTGCCGTCGTGATCATAGGAAGTATAAATATGCTTTAAATGCATTACTTTGTTGGCTCCTACCTCCACTGAGTGTTTACAACAGCAGCTGTGGATTTATGTATTTCCTTGCCTCTGTACAGTGGATAAAATATCGCCGCATTCTTTTTGGAAAGGAGACCAGTTGGTGGATTATAAATGATGTCCAAGTAACACATATTTCCATGTGGTATTGCAGTAAGTTTCGGCCTTGTTTTCTCATATTTTATTCGTATGTTGGTTATGGTTCTCCCTATGTATCAGGTAGACAGTTCGATTGACTCTTAATTGAATGGGTGTTATTGTCATGACTGCTGCTTTTTGTCTGGAATTATAAATAGGGGCAAAACAAACAACAGTTGTAGTCTGTAAGTTCATACATTAAATGGGCCTATGATTTCTGAAACTCTTACATACGAATTAGCACTGGTATCACTTGCAAACTCACTTAGCTTGTCATTAAGTGCCTTTTCAAAGGAGGCCAATGTGCTTGCTGGTCGCATTTCCTCAGGTAGTTTGTTCCATATTTGGGCATACCTAGTCAAGAAAACCTTTTGCCTGGTGACTGTTTTTACGTGGTTCTATCGCCACTGTACCTTTAGTGTGTCTAAGGTTATATCCAGTGTCTTCTGAGAACTGAGTATAATTGGCAGGGGCATACACCATGTGGTTAAGAATCTTATAGAAGAATACCACATTTAGTCTCAGTCGCCTTAACCATAATGTTTCTAGTCCTAGGATTTCACATTTGGTAGAGTAGTTTGTGCCGTTATCGGTTCCGAGTACCTCTGTACTCCTTCTACATTCAGTCTGTCTTCTATGAGTGTACTGCTAAATATGAATGAGCAGTAATCTAGGAGTAGGCGCACACAAACCTTGTACAGTAGTATTCTGGATTCGTTTCTGTAGAAGTTCCTGAGTAGGAAACCAATAAGCCTGCGTGATCTCGATACTTGTTTCGAGATATGCTCTGAAAATGATAGATTGTGTGAATATTTCAGTCGTAGGTCTAGTAGAGATTTGAGTCTGGGGATTTAGTGGCCCTGAATTGCCAGGTTGAGGTCAAGGTTGGAACAGCCTATGCAGAGCCATCCACACTTGCCAACATTAAACTCCAGTCTCCAGGTGTCACACCATCTGTCCATTTTTATTAATTCTTCATTTATGGAGTTCGTAATTGTGCCGATATCTGTATTTGTGCAGGTATATGTCACCTTCAAGTCATCTGCATACAGTATTGGCTTGCCTTTACTAAAGGATTCACATATACTGTTTATGTATATAATAAAAAGAAGGGGTCCCAATACACTCCCCTGGATGACACCACTGCTGATTGGTCTAGGCCTGGAGGTCATTGAGCCAACTTTAGTTGTCTGATTCCTGTCATAGAGAAATGATCTCATCCAACTGTAGAGGGGGTTGCGTATCCCTAGTCTGTCTGTCTGTTTTCGACATAGAACTTTGCACATATGTGCGGCAGTTCAAGTCGCCATACTCAATGTATTACACAAAGCAAGAGAAGAAAGTACAAGAAACGCATAATAGAGACAGTAAACAGAGGTGTGAGACATAGGAATAATGATAACGAAGAACAATATAGTTTTATTGGAAATCATAAGTCACAAGGAGTGGATGCATCTGCGCCAGCCATTGAGAACGATTTTGAGCCATATCACCAACTGTTTTCAGCCATTGGTTTTACCGTCCCGAGAACTCTAACCAATCAGGAAGTCTTCAGCTTCCTACGTAACTTAAACTAACTGTTGTGGATTTCATTGACTGATGAAGCCATGTTTTGGTCTGACCGCCGCTAGCTCTTTTCCAGCCTGACCTTATATCAGCTAACATTGCCCATTGTCGAGGAAGGCGATGACTAAGCATACGTAACACATGTCCTAACCATCTCAGTCGATGTAGCTTCACAGCCTCGTCGATTGATTTCCCATGCTTACCTATACCTCGACCGACGCCTAACCTCAATATTGCTCACCTTATTATACCACTTCACACGGGAGATAGAGAGTAAGCATCTATGATCAAAGCCAGCTAATCTTTTCATGTATTTCACTCTCAATGGCCATGTCTCAGTCACAGCCATAAAGGAGGACGGAGTGGACTGATGAGCAGTACACCCGCCTTTTGGTCGATAGCCAGCCGGATATCACATCTACGCCAGAGACGGCGTAAACTGGCATATGCGAAACGAGCCCCCTGTATTCGTGCTGAGATTTCGTCAGAGATCAACCCGTTGGCGTTGGCTGATGGTACTTCCCAAATAAGTGAAGCGGTCAACGTGCTCTACCACTCCACTTCCTATTTTTAAACTAGGCGTCAGTGTAGCCCAGTCCTGTAACATCATCTTGCATTTGGCGGGAGCGAATCGCATGCCAAACATTCGTAGATTGCGGCTCAAGGTGTTTAGAAGACTCTGCTGGATTTTGTCAGAGTCGTCGTCAAGGAGGACCATATCGTCTGCATATTCTAAGTAAGCAAGATTATTCCCTGGTAGCAAGTCAATCCCTGAGTCTCTGAAGTCACTTAGGGTTAAGTCCATTAGTACATCTTTGATGAAATTGAATAGGAATGAGGATAATGGGAATCCTTGACGGACACCAGTAGTCGTCATCAGTTCAGATCGCGTATCCTTAGTGAACATAGCCTGCTGACTTGCAGACTGTGTGGGACTCTGTCGAAGGCTTTCCTTATATCTAAATAGAGGATAATTACTAGCTCTCTCCTATCTCTTCTATAGGTGACTTCGTTGAAAGTCTATATGGCATGTGACGCAAGATCTTTTCTTGAGGAATCCGTGTTGTGACAGGTTGATGAGTTTATGTTTTAGAAAGTAGTCTGACATTTGGTTTTTGATTACTTTCTGCATGATCCTTGATATGACAGGTGTTATGTTAATAGGCCTATAATAACATGCATTAGTTTTGGCCCCGCCTTTATGCTTAGGTAATACATATGTGTTTTTCCAAGTTTCAGGGTAGGTCCCAGTCACTAGTGAGATATTAAATATTCTAAGTAATAGTACTATCATATCCCCGTACCACCGTTTTTGTATATGACGGATGGTATATCATCTATCCCACAACTACCGTTAGCTTTTATGTCCTTACCGTCGATGCTATATCTTGTATATTAAAGTTGATTTCACCTAACTTGTAGTTATTTTTGCAGGTTATGTCGAGAATTGGGGACGGATGCGCTTTGGTGTTATTGGAGAACCACTCACTCAGGAGTTCACTAATGATCTGGGGATCATCATAAATTATACCTTCATGTTCCAAGTAGCTAATACTGTTGTCTTCACCCCTCTTTGGTAGTTTTTGCAAGATCTTGGAGAGTTCCTGAGTTTTAGAGGTGCCCTCTAGGACTTTATTTTCCTCGAGTTGTGCCTTCATTTTATACCTCTCCTCAAGATTTTTAAATGTTTCATGTATCTGGTGTAATGCACTAAATTCTTTGTATAAATAAAATTTCCTTTTCAGTTTCCTTAGTTTTAATCGCGTTTTGCGGTCTATGAATAGAGTTGGTGTTTTTAGGACAGATTTCAAAGGTGCGATTGTGTCTCTTACCGAAGTGATTGTCTTGTAGAAGGTATGAAGTGTTACTTCTAAGTTATTATTGGTGAAGTATTCACCCCAGTCAGATCTCAAGAGCGTTGGTAGGAATTCCCAGTCGGCATTTCGATAGTCCCTATAGTGATAGTAAATCGGGGAACCTTTAGGTGTGTGTTTAGTTTAGTTGTTAGTTGTAGTGGTAGGGTGAAGTACAGAATGTTGTGATCGCTGTTTTCGAGTGTATGCCCCACCTCTATCGAGATCGGCTCTATTGGATTAAGTCGAGAATATTGTTGTGTCGTGCTGGGAGGCGTACGTACTGCTTCCATCCTCCTACATCTATGGCTTCTAGGATCCCCTCGTAGGTTCTCGGTCCAGTGCAGGTATCCCAGTTCACTCCAGGAGGTTGAAATCGCCACAAACTAGTTTGTAGTCGAATTCCAGCTTAGGTACAATCTCTAGTATTTCTCTGATAACTGTATCAGTCGTTTTAGGGTTGTTAGGGGCTCTGTATATACATCCCACAAGAATTTTATTTTCATTCGCGTGGATGCTTATCCACTTGGATTCTGGGAGTTTGTCGATAGTTAGGCTTGTAAAAGTACTGGAGTCAGCGGATTTAGAAGCATATATTAGACACCCGCCTCCTCTTTCATCCACTCTGTCATTCTTGTGGATGTTATAGTTATCAATTATCAGCTTTGTGTCAGGTATATCAGTAGTAAGCCAAGTTTCAGTTACCAGAATCAGTGTTGGCGGCTCCATGTATACCAAGCTGCGAAGGGAAGTTGTTTTGTTAAGGCGAGATCGGGCATTTTAGAGCATAATTTTCAGAAAACCAGGGTTGTTGGGAGGATAGTTAGTAGGTTTCCTTGTTACTATCCCCAACTCCTGGTTGCCTATGTTATGTTCGGAGGGATTCTCAGATGAGACATTCTCAGCGTGTCTACTATTCCCTGAACAAATTGTACTGCAAGAGGGGCTATTGTTTGCTGCAACCGAAAATAATCCTGTTGCATATATTGGTTTCTGGCCTCATTACGTGGGTATCCGGGATCATTTCTCTGCATAAGATAGGCTGTTTCACTGTTCACATTGTAATTTACAGGGCCATAGTACCCTGTTTTTAGGTTGTTTTGAGGATAGTGCATGCTAGGTTTTACGTAGTTGCACGTTTGCTGACTCATTTCGTGTGTGTACCTAGAAGGACCATGGGCCAATCTTTACCCGTTATGCCGATGGGACTTTACGTAACTACTACTAGGGTTCGAGTATACATTTCCGTTGATATGGTACCTAGTGGTGTCCCGTCTAGTAGGCCATGTGTTTTCATTATTAATTATGGGTCCCGTTCTCAGGTTATATGTTCCTATAGGCATATTACAACCTCGGGTATTGCGAAAATCGTGGGTATCAGCTCGGCGCCCTTTGCTTGTCTGCTGACGTGTGATTTTATGTGGATAGAGCTATTTTGGCTGTTAGTTCTCACCTCGTGTAGTCTGTCGTCCTCAGTTGGTCTACTACTCTTAGTTCGACGAAGAGCACTTCCACTCACGTCTTTCGTCCCCCTTATGGGACCCGCCGCAATGAGTGCATAGTTCTTTTTTAGGCATATATGCTGCTTGTTGGGCTTGCCACAAGGGAGGTATATGGATGCATGAGGAGAAGCCTTGGTTTTAAGGGATTTCTTTACGGCTTTTACAATGGGGTTATCTTGTTTGGCCCTGGGTGCAGTGTGATCTGCCGATATTTGCAGGTTTTCGGTAGTAGTAGGAGCATCTACATCTACTTCATGTGTGTAGTCAGTATATTTACTAGGAGTGTTCTCACGAACTTCGAGACCCATTACAGTGTCACTGCTCCTTTTGGGTTTCCCTTCACCTTCGCGTGTCGTCTGTTCACCTAGTACAGTGTAAGTGTCACTTTGTACTTCAGTGTCTTTCGACACTTCGTTACTGACGCTATTAATGATTTGTGGCATAATCGTGATCGTATGTATGGTGTTCTTAGCTACTTGCCGTTGGTTGGGAGTTTTGTCCGGAACTATTTCAAGATTTTTGAATTTTGTAGTGGAAGCCAAAATATCCCCAGATTTCCTGAATTGTTCGGCTATAATACAGCTGTCAAACCTGAAAAGTATGGGACATGTGCGGTTTACTTCTCTTTTATTTAGTCTAATACACTGACAGGGTGTACTTAAATCATAACCATAACATTGTCTCCAGCTTAGACAAGGGGGCTAAATTTGTTCGCTGCACCTTCCTAGATTAAACATCTGCTTTCGACTCAGTACCTAGGGACATTTTGCCAAAGAAGCTTGCTGGAACTCAAACTGACTGTTGAGTTGTCAAATGGCTGCATTCTTATTTCTCAGGAAGAAAGCAGTACACTGTATGTCAGGGAAAGTCGTCCACTTCTTTGTTTACCGAGGCTGGTGTCCCTCAAGGTGCTGTCCTTTCTCCTTTTCTGTTTTCTTTCTTCTTGCATGATTTGACTCACTTTGATGAAATGAACTTTGTTAAGTATGACGATGATCTAGCTATTTCAACGACTGTGAACTCCCAGCTTGACTGTGCTAAGATGAACAGCTTTCTATGAGGAATTAGCAAATGGTCTTCGTGTAACGGCGTGATAGGATCCCACATATTTTGGTATTGACTGTTTAATCTTGCATATATGGTATGTTATCATTCTCACACATTTTGGTAGTGACTGCTAATTTTGTATATATGGTATATTATCATTCTCACACATTTTGGTAGTGACTGCTAATCTTGTATATATGGTATATTATCATTCCCACACATTTTGTTACTGACTGTCAACCTCGCACATATGGTATATTATCATCTCTCACGCACTTTGTTATTGGCTATTAAGATAAATTATTTCAAATGCTGTTAGCTGTCCATATTGTTGTAAAATGTATAAATACCATGGCTTTCTTTATCGTTGTTGCACTTCAATACACAGTCACAGTCCAGCCTTTGTCTTTTGATATTTGCGTGCTTTACTAAATCGGAAGGTACGACAAGCAGATAGGCAGATTAGTTCAGGCGCAGACAGAATAAGGTGAAAACGTCTTCATTCAATACCCCCACAGTTATAACAAATTGGCGACGGGGTTTTACCTTAATTCATTACAGTTATAACAAATTGGCGACGGGGTTTACCTTAATTCATCGCAGTTATAGCAAGCAAACGACGACAGTTTTTATTCTGTTCAGCGCAGCTATATAACATTTTTGACTGTGTTAATTACAACCCAATTACAATGTCTATCTCTCTGGACGATCTCAAATCTATCTTGCAGCAGCAGCAGGTTCAGAATGAAGCAGCTCAACTAAAATTAATCGAAGCTCTCACTCAGAAGCTGTCCATTCAAGTTCCATCAACATCTCATTCTGACAAATATGAAAGCATCTCAAATTCTATCAGTGAGTTCAACTACGATCCAATATCTGGTCTCGTATTTGATGCATGGTTCAATCGTTACGAAGACGTCTTCCGTATTGAATGCTACATGTTTGATGATGCTGCCAAAGTCCGATTGTTACTAAGAAAACTTGGTACTGTTGAGCACAACAGATATGTTAACTTCATTCTGCCTAAGAACCCACGTGAGTTATCATTCGATGAGACAGTCACCGTTTTATCACAAATCTTTGGTGAACAGTCATCCATGTTTAATATTCGGTATCAATGTTTTCAGTTGACAAAAATGCCTTCCGATGATTATGTCACTTACGCTGGCAAAGTGAACAAGGAATGTGAAAGGTTCAAACCACACGAAATGACATCAGATCAGCTCAAGTGTTTGATTTTTATTTGTGGGTTGAAGAACCCAGAAGATACTGACATACGAACTCGACTTCTGTCACTTGTGGAACAAGACCCGAAAATGACTTTACAAATGGTGACAGCAGAATGCCTACGTTTAATCAACTTGAAGCACGATACTGCTATGGTGGAGTGCAAACGACAGTCGTCTGAATTTGGTTCGATTAACACAGTGAAAAGTCCTCCGATCACCGTTAAGCACACAGAACGTCAGTCTCAGAATTCAGCTAAACCTCCTTCAGTGTGCTGGCACTGTGGTTCGTGGCATTTTGTCAAGTTCTGTCCTTTCAAGAAGCGTAAATGCCGTAATTGTCACCGTTTTGGACATAAGGAGGGCTACTGTACACCGCAGAAAAATCCTTCGGTGAGGAACAGAAGTAGTCGTTTCGAGCCGAAACAATCTCCTCGAGTACAGACCGTTTTCACTACTTCCAAAGTCGAGTTCGCCAGCAAACGTAAGTACATAACAGTAGATATTAACGGCAAACGTATTCGTCTTCAGTTAGATACGGCATCAGATATCACCGTAATTTCCCGAACTACGTGGCGCAAACTTGGTTGCCCACAGATTCTGCCGACCGAGCATGTCGCCAAGAATGTCTCTGGAGATATACTGAAACTTGTGGGTGAGATAAATTGCCGGGTTCAGTTTGGTGAGCATCACTTCAATGGTGTATGTTACGTTACAAACTACCATGATTTGGATTTGCTTGGTCTTGACTGGTTAGACAAGCTCCATATCTTTAATGTACCATCAAATTCAGTATGCTCTAATGTTTCGTCTTCACCACACAACGTTGTTCCCAGAGATGTATCTGATCAATCTCTCTTGCAACGCCGTCGTCAAAAGCACGCTTCTGTCTTCCAGGACAAACTTGGTTGCTGCAAACTGTTTGGCATCCAGCATATTCGTAGCCCCCCGTATCATCCCCAATCGAATGGACAGACTGAACGTTTCGTCGACACCCTTAAGCGTGCTTATGCAAAAGCGAAGGGGGAGGGAACAACAGAAGAAATTTTGGATAAATTCTTGCTGCATTATCGTACGAATGAAAAAGGACAGTTATGTGTCAGACACACAG